ATCTAATTAATTATACGTCTCATTTCTATTAAGAGTCATATTCTAGATTGGTATATTTGATTGTATATATTTTTAATAGAACAAGATGTATAAACAATCATAGAAATGAGCCATTTAGTTGAGTTGGGATAGAATCTACAACATTTGTAAATAATTTTCTTGATAAGAAAAATAACTGTATTTTCTAACATTGCTTTAAGAGAATTTAACAGATATAAAAGATTTATAAGACATGGAAGAAAAAGGAAAACATAATTAATCAAAATTAAGACTTATATGTAGATTAAATAATATAAAATCAAGAGAAAAGGGGTCATCGTCAGAACGTGAAGCAGAATGTTCACGTGAAATTTACAACCTTATTGGGCAATCTATTCGCGTCGTAAAATTACTTGGCAGCAAAGTCCACATGCGGTTCACAACAACTCATTCCTTATTAAATTTTGATTTTGATAGTATAATAAGGAAAAAATCGAAAAAGCATTACATGTAGAGACGAATAAGGAGTGGCTTGATATTTTGCTTGCAATGAATAAACACCAAAATAAATAAATATGGTTAATTTATAGATTGAATGTTTCTTTTAGTATCGATACCTAAGACCATCATTATCAATGATACAACGTGAGTATCATTAAATAAACAAATATTAAAACACACACTCTTTTTTTCTTTTATTCAACTTTATACTTTTTCTTTTATCCTTTTACTCAATTTTTATTAATTTTATACTCTCTTTAAATATAAAATTATTAAAAATACACTCAAACACATTCATTTGAATATCAAAAGTATCAACTCATTGATACACTCTCTCCAAAACTACCCATTATCTATTCTTTTTACTCAAATTTTATTAATTTTATATTTCAATACACCTCATTATTTCAACCAAAAACACTCTCTTTCTTCCTTTTATTCAAATTTTAATAATTTTATATTTATTGATACTCATATTGTATCATCAATAATGATGCTCTAACAAATTCGTTGTTAGATAATATTATACCAAATACCAAAGACCGTCTCTCTATTGTTGAAGAGAGAGAAAAAAAACGTGACAAAATATTTTTTCTCTAACAATTTTCTTCATGAATAATTCGAATGTAATTTGAAATAACATGTTTCACGAATCATATGCCGTGTGTGGTCCAAGCAAGAAGAACTCTTTTTAAAAAAGAATATATATTCGGATCTTTATTCGGTTTATAATTTCGTATTTATATGCCTTGATCTTGTATTTTTCAAAGTATTCTCTGTCTTGTATTGATCACGCGGATTCTTAAAAAAAATCGGTCGGGACATCGTGACCTCGTATGTGTAATGTGTTGACATTATTAAATCCTATTATAATTTAATATGGGACCCTACTTATATAGTTCCTCAGACAATATAAAACATACATGTGACCTAATCTGAGTTTTTCGCCTACCCTAAAAACTAACAAGATACGTTTAACTTATTAGCATGCAGTTGATTAAGAGTTATAGACTACTCGAGACGATTTTCGATTACTCAAAATTCAAAAATGGTTTTGATATTTTTTTTCTTAATAGGATCGTGTGAATTAGTAAAGAAATATGAGTTTATATATAACAAGCCTCATATTATTAAGTGTCAGTAACGATCCTAAAATAGAAAGGGGTCGTCAAGTACCTAAATAGACTTTGGCGGTTGATTACCACAAACTCTTCATCATTTAGAATCAATGAAGAAGCTTGAGTTTATAATTTTTGTGTGTGGTTAGTCGAAATACGAATATTTGTTTGGAAAATTGTCCTTATAAGTTCATGATATATATTTTTGAAAAAGATAGTGAGAGTTTGAGTAGATAACAAGCCGTGTATTAATATGTCATCTGTCAAAAATGATCCTAGAATGGAATTTGACTGTAAGATATAATTAGTTAGCCCTACCAATAATCAAGAATACATTATCATGATCATAACGTCGAAGTCTTTAAAATTTGTAGACCTAACGAAAAAAAAGTTCCCATATCCAAGATATATATAAATACATTTCCATTATTTTTGGGGTATATATTTTGTATTTTCACATTAAATCAAAGGAAAAATGTCTCATCTAGTTCACTTTTTTTTCTTCCTTGTTTTTAAACGTCTACGGTGTAGATGAAAAATAACTTCTTTTTCCACAAAATAATTATCGTATTTTACATTCG